TGTTACTGAGGGACACAGAATTGTTACTCAGGGACAGACACAGAATTGTTACTGAGGGACACAGAATTGTTACTCAGGGACAGACACAGAATTGTTACTGAGGGACACAGAATTGTTACTGAGGGACACAGAATTGTTACTGAGGGACACAGAATTGTTACTCAGGGACAGACACAGAATTGTTACTCAGGGACAGACACAGAATTGTTACTCAGGGACAGACACAGAATTGTTACTGAGGGACACAGAATTGTTACTGAGGGACACAGAATTGTTACTGAGGGACACAGAATTGTTACTCAGGGACAGACACAGAATTGTTACTCAGGGACACAGAATTGTTACTGAGGGACACAGAATTGTTACTCAGGGACACAGAATTGTTACTCAGGGACACAGAATTGTTACTCAGGGACAGACACAGAATTGTTACTGAGGAACACAGAATTGTTACTGAGGGACACAGAATTGTTACTCAGGGACAGACACAGAATTTTTACTGAGGGACACTGAATTGTTACTCAGGGACAGACACAGAATTGTTACTGAGGGACACAGAATTGTTACTGAGGGACACAGAATTGTTACTCAGGGACAGACACAGAATTGTTACTGAGGGACACAGAATTGTTACTGAGGGACACAGAATTGTTACTCAGGGACACAGAATTGTTACTCAGGGACAGACACAGAATTGTTACTGAGGGACACAGAATTGTTACTGAGGGACACAGAATTGTTACTCAGGGACACAGAATTGTTACTCAGGGACACAGAATTATTACTCAGGGACAGACACAGAATTGTTACTGAGGGACACAGAATTGTTACTCAGGGACAGACACAGAATTGTTACTGATGGACACAGAATTGTTACTGAGGGACACAGAATTGTTACTCAGGGACACAGAATTGTTACTCAGGGACAGACACAACACAGAATTGTTACTGAGGGACACAGAATTGTTACTGAGGGACACAGAATTGTTACTCAGGGACACAGAATTGTTACTGAGGGACACAGAATTGTTACTCAGGGACAGACACAGAATTGTTACTGAGGGACACAGAATTGTTACTCAGGGACAGACACAGAATTGTTACTGAGGGACACAGAATTGTTACCCAGGGACACAGAATTGTTACTCAGGGAAACAGAATTGTTACTGAGGGACACAGAATTGTTACTCAGGGACACAGAATTGTTACTCAGGGACACAGAATTGTTACTCAAGGACAGACACAGAATTGTTACTGAGGGACACAGAATTGTTACTCAGGGACACAGAATCGTTGAATTAAAGAGTATGTCAGACAACATGCAGAGGAGTGGCAGAGGAGGCAATGTTTTAGGAGCGAGCAGACGTGGCAGCAGAGGAAGGGGTCGAGGCAGCACTAGTCACAGCCAGAGGCCAGTGCTCCCGGTGTCATCATCAGCGGTCGTGTCTCCACCGACAACCCTGCCGTCATCGATTGGTTGGCTCGGTCGTCTTCCTCTTCCCAGGTCACCTCTCACACCTACAGCCAACGGTCGGTGGGTACGTCAGACACAACCGTTAGTTGGCATGGCCCGGGAGCAAGCCCACTGAAATCACGTGTCCTCTACCTGCCCCTGTCCTTTGGTGTTCCCTCACCAAGCGAAGTATCGCATGCTGTGGGCTCAGCCCCACTGTACAGTGAGGAAGAGCTAACAGAGGGCGGTCAGGAACGGGGGGAGACATCCGCCTCTTCAGCAGCCAGGCGAAGAAGTACTGGCGAGGAGAGTGGCTCGGCAGCCGGTCTAGAGACAGGTCTGTCTCCTGACCCACACGCAGCCGAGGGGGCTAGTAGTGAGGCGGAGACCCTAATTGATGATGATGAGGCTGATCGCACTTGGCAGCCTCGTCGTCATCAGGCTATTTGCTTCCGCATATCAGGAGAAGAGGGTGCCAGCTTGGCAGCGAGCAAAACAGTCGGTGGGTTGCCCAGGAGGCAGCAGGGTCGCAGCAGTGTCAGTGGAGGCAAACGGCCACGGAGTAGAGAACCAGCTCCACTGCAGCCTACCACCACGGCCAGTAGTGGTGCCGGTGTGCACGGAGGAAGTAGCAGTCAGCCAGTGAGGAGTAGCGGGGGCAAAGTTTCCTACTCGGCGGTGTGGCAATTTTTTGTCAAGCCCCCCGAGGAAGTAAACGTAGCCGTATGTCGACTATGTGGCCAGAAAAGTCAAGCGTGGCCAGGGGGCCCATGTTGGGACTACAGCGTTGCGGCAGCATATGCAGCGTCGCCATTTGGTGGCCTGGGAAAACCGTGATAAAGATACGGCGGTTCTGCCTGCCCCAGCCCCCGCTCCATCACCCGCTCCGTTACTTGCTCCGTCACCTGACGTCAATCGCCTCTATCAGCCAGTCAAGGCTCCAACACCTCTGCTGAGGGGGAGTTGTCGCTCGTTGGCATCTTCCGCTCGTTCAGATGCTCCTTCTCCTGCTACTCTCTCTTCACGGATTCCGTCAGCAGTCTTTCTTGGAATCCGTTTCCAAGAGACAACAGTTTGCGAGCACGCACCCGACGGTGCAGAAGCTGAACATCCTCCTGTCCAAGTTGCTGGTGCTGCAGTCCCCTCCCTTTCCAAGTGGTGGACTCAGCACCTTTCCGAGAAATGATGGCTTGTGCCGCGCCGCGGTGGAGAGTGCCAAGCCGGCATTTCTTTGCCAAAAAGGCAGTGCCAGCCCTGCATTCACATGTAGAAGAGATGGTGGGCCAGTCTTTGAGCATGTCGGTCTCTGCCAAAGTGCACGGCAGCGCCGACGTGTGGAGCTGTAACTACGGTCAGGGACAGTACATGTCATTCACGGCCCACTGGGTGAACGTGGTGCCGGCACAGCCGCACCAGCAACTTGGACAGGTCACGCCGCTTTTGCCTCCACGTTTGCACGTCCTTGGTCCGGCAAAGATGTCCGCCTCTACCACCTCTTTTTCCGCCGTGTCCTCAGCCGCCACCCCCCGTGCCAAGTCCCATTACCCGACCGGCATATCACATGTGCAGGGCGCAACGGTGTCACGCTGTGCTGCACCTGGTATGCCTTGGCGAATGTAGTCACACAGGGGAGGAACTTCTGAGTGTAATGAACAGAGAAATCGACAGATGGCTGTCTCCGCGCAAACTGAAAATCGGAACCATGTTGACCGACAACGGAAAGAACATGGTGTCTGCTCTGCGTCAAGGAAGGTTGTGCCATGCGCCATGCATGGCTCACGTGTTCAATCTGGTTGTCAAGCGGTTCCTAAAATCCACCATCCCACTGCAAGACATCCTTAAAATGTCACGTAAACTTTGCATGCATTTCAGCCATTCCTACACCGCAAAGCACACCCTCCTTGAGCTGCAGCGGCAGAACGGAATTCCACAGCATCGCCTGATCTGCGACGTTGCAACAAGGTGGAATTCAACCCTACACATGTTAGACCGCCTTTACGAACAGCGAAAGGCCATCACAGATTTCCTGATGTTACAAGCGGATAAAGGTACTCCCCTGTGTAACTTCGATGTCAGCCATTGGCAGCTCATGCGTGACACCTGCCGCTTGCTCAGGCCCTTTGAGGAGGGTACGCTATTCGTGAGTCGGCAGGACTATGGGATGAACGACGTCATTCCTCTGTTGCACGTCCTGGAACAAATGCTGTTAACAATGGCTGGTCAGGGTGCGGTAGACGTGGCGCACAGATCTCAACGCCACATGACCCCTGTGGGGGCAGGACAGGAAGAAGAGGAGGAGGTAGAGGAGGACATTGGTGCTCAGGAATTATTGAGTGAAATGGGTGGTTTTTCCACTCAGCGGACAGTGGAGGAGCAGGAGCATCTGGTAGAGGAGGAGGAGGAGGAGACAGAGGACCCAGACGCACCGTGGCAGTATGCTGTGGAGATGGAGGCAGGGAGTCCCTCGCATTCCTTGGCACAAATGGCCCATAGCATGCTCGGTTGCTTGCGTAGCGACAGCCGAATAATAACCATCAGACAGAGGGATGACTTTTGGCTGTCCACCTTGTTGGACCCTCGCTACCGTTCAAAAATGGTGGCCTTTTTCACACCTGCTGAGAGGGAGGCCAAAATAACGTACTATAAAAACCACCTATGTAGTCAGTTGGTCTCTGCCTTTGTGCGCCAACGTCCATCCTCAGACACTGTGGGCCCTGTGCGCTCGCGTTCCGCTGCCATGGCAGCAGGGGAGGGGTGGGGGGTGGTAGGAGCAGTGGCAGCTCCACCAGCAGCGGCTGCCTCAGTCTGCAGTCGATGATGAGTAGCTTTCTTCACCAGCGCAGTGAGGAAACTACTAAACCAGCCACAGCAGCAGCAGCATCAGGTGGACCTGGAGCAGGACCTCAAACAACAGGCTTGGGCCTACTTGGACAGCACCCTGCCAACCGAGGTAGACAATCCCCTTGACTACTGGGCAACGAAACTTGACCTTTGGCCCCAACTAGCTGAATTTGCCCTTGAAAGGCTGTCATGCCCGGCCAGTAGCGTGGCATCGGAGCGCGTGTTTAGTGCGGCAGGAGGTATTGTAACTCCGCGGAGGACACGACTGTCCACCCAAAGTGTGGAGAGACTCACGTTTGTGAAAATGAATCAGGCGTGGATTAGTCTGGATTTCAAACCACCAGTTCCTGACACAACTGACTAAATCCGCCATGAATCATGCCCCAAACATGTGCCACTTTCAGGTCTCCTCACACTGCTGGTGGGTTCCATTTTGTTGTCATAGGGGTGCTGGCAGATTACGGGCCTCCCATTGCTGCTGCCAGGCCGTAATCTGCCATGGGCCCCTGTACCGCCTCCTCATGCTGCTGCCAGGTCCAGAGTGTGTCATGGGTCCCTGTACGGCCTCCATTGCTGCTGTCTCCATCGCCACACTCTGCCATGTGCCACTTTCAGGTCTCCTCACACTGCTGGTGTGTTCCATTTTGTCATAGGGTGCTGGCAGATTACGGGCCTCCCATTGCTGCTGCCAGGCCCGTAATCTGCCATGGGCCCCTGTACCGCCTCCTCATGCTGCTGCCAGGTCCAGAGTGTCTCATGGGTCCCTGTACGGCCTCCATTGCTGCTGTCTCCATCGCCACACTCTGCCATGTGCCACTTTCAGGTCTCCTCACACTGCTGGTGTGTTCCATTTTTGTCATAGGGTGCTGGCAGATTACGGGCCTCCCATTGCTGCTGCCAGGCCCGTAATCTGCCATGGGCCCCTGTACCGCCTCCTCATGCTGCTGCCAGGTCCAGAGTCTCTCATGGGTCCCTGTACGGCCTCCCATTGCTGCTGTCTCCATCGCCACACTGCCATGTGCCACTTTCAGGTCTCCTCACACTGCTGGTGTGTTCCATTTTTTGTCATAGGGTGCTGGCAGATTACGGGCCTCCCATTGCTGCTGCCAGGCCTGTAATCTGCCATGGGCCCCTGTACCGCCTCCTCATGCTGCTGCCAGGTCCACAGTGTCTCATGGGTCCCTGTACGGCCTCCCATTGCTGCTGTCTCCATCGCCACACTCTGCCATGTGCCACTTTCAGGTCTCCTCACACTGCTGGTGTGTTCCATTTTGTCATAGGGTGCTGGCAGATTACGGGCCTCCCATTGCTGCTGCCAGGCCCTGTAATCTGCCATGGGCCCCGTACCGCCTCCTCATGCTGCTGCCAGGTCCAGAGTCTCTCATGGGTCCCTGTACGGCCTCCCATTGCTGCTGTCTCCATCGCCACACTCTGCCATGTGCCACTTTCAGGTCTCCTCACACTGCTGGTGTGTGTTCCATTTTGTCATAGGGTGCTGGCAGATTACGGGCCTCCCATTGCTGCTGCCAGGCCTGTAATCTGCCATGGGCCCCTGTACCGCCTCCTCATGCTGCTGCCAGGTCCAGAGTCTCTCATGGGTCCCTGTACGGCCTCCCATTGCTGCTGTCTCCATCGCCACACTCTGCCATGTGCCACTTTCAGGTCTCCTCACACTGCTGGTGTGTTCCATTTTTGTCATAGGGTGCTGGCAGATTACGGGCCTCCCATTGCTGCTGCCAGGCCCGTAATCTGCCATGGGCCCCTGTACCGCCTCCTCATGCTGCTGCCAGGTCCAGAGTGTCTCATGGGTCCCTGTACGGCCTCCCATTGCTGCTGTCTCCATCGCCACACTCTGCCATGTGCCACTTTCAGGTCTCCTCACACTGCTGGTGTGTTCCATTTTGTCATAGGGTGCTGGCAGATTACGGGCCTCCCATTGCTGCTGCCAGGCCTGTAATCTGCCATGGGCCCCTGTACCGCCTCCTCATGCTGCTGCCAGGTCCAAGTGTCTCATGGGTCCCTGTACGGCCTCCCATTGCTGCTGTCTCCATCGCCACACTCTGCCATGTGCCACTTTCAGGTCTCCTCACACTGCTGGTGTGTTCCATTTTGTCATAGGGTGCTGGCAGATTACGGGCCTCCCATTGCTGCTGCCAGGCCTGTAATCTGCCATGGGCCCCTGTACCGCCTCCTCATGCTGCTGCCAGGTCCAGAGTCTCTCATGGGTCCCTGTACGGCCTCCCATTGCTGCTGTCTCCATCGCCACACTCTGCCATGTGCCACTTTCAGGTCTCCTCACACTGCTGGTGTGTTCCATTTTGTCATAGGGTGCTGGCAGATTTACGGGCCTTACGGGCCTCCCATTGCTGCTGCCAGGGCCACTGTAATCTGCCATGGGCCCCCTGTACCGCCTCCTCATGCTGCTGCCAGGTCCAGAGTGTAATCTCATGGGTCCCTGTACGGCCTCCCATTGCTGCTGTCTCCATCGCCACACTCTGCCATGTGCCACTTTCAGGTCTCCTCACACTGCTGGTGTGTTCCATTTTTGTCATAGGGTGCTGGCAGATTACGGGCCTCCCATTGCTGCTGCCAGGCCTGTAATCTGCCATGGGCCCCCGTACCGCCTCCTCATGCTGCTGCCAGGTCCAGAGTCTCTCATGGGTCCCTGTACGGCCCCATTGCTGCTGTCTCCATCGCCACACTCTGCCATGTGCCACTTTCAGGTCTCCTCACACTGCTGGTGTGTTCCATTTTGTCATAGGGTGCTGGCAGATTACGGGCCTCCCATTGCTGCTGCCAGGCCTGTAATCTGCCATGGGCCCCCGTACCGCCTCCTCATGCTGCTGCCAGGTCCAGAGTCTCATGGGTCCCTGTACGGCCTCCCATTGCTGCTGTCTCCATCGCCACACTCTGCCATGTGCCACTTTCAGGTCTCCTCACACTGCTGGTGTGTTCCATTTTGTCATAGGGTGCTGGCGATTACGGGCCTCCATTGCTGCTGCCAGGCCTGTAATCTGCCATGGGCCCCTGTACCGCCTCCTCATGCTGCTGCCAGGTCCACAGTGTCTCATGGGTCCCTGTACGGCCTCCCATTGCTGCTGTCTCCATCGCCACACTCTGCATGTGCCACTTTCAGGTCTCCTCACACTGCTGGTGTGTTCCATTTTGTCATAGGGTGCTGGCAGATTACGGGCCTCCCATTGCTGCTGCCAGGCCTGTAATCTGCCATGGGCCCCTGTACCGCCTCCTCATGCTGCTGCCAGGTCCACAGTGTCTCATGGGTCCCTGTACGGCCTCCCATTGCTGCTGTCTCCATCGCCACACTCTGCCATGTGCCACTTTCAGGTCTCCTCACACTGCTGGTGTGTTCCATTTTGTCATAGGGTGCTGGCAGATTACGGGCCTCCCATTGCTGCTGCCAGGCCCGTAATCTGCCATGGGCCCTGTACCGCCTCCTCATGCTGCGCTGCCAGGTCCAGAGTGTCTCATGGGTCCCTGTACGGCCTCCCATTGCTGCTGTCTCCATCGCCACACTCTGCCATGTGCCACTTTCAGGTCTCCTCACACTGCTGGTGTGTTTTCCATTTTGTCATAGGGTGCTGGCAGATTACGGGCCTCCCATTGCTGCTGCCAGGCCTGTAATCTGCCATGGGCCCCCGTACCGCCTCTCATGCTGCTGCCAGGTCCAGAGTCTCTCATGGGTCCCTGTACGGCCTCCCATTGCTGCTGTCTCCATCGCCACACTCTGCCATGTGCCACTTTCAGGTCTCTTCACACTGCTGGTGTGTTCCATTTTGTCATAGGGTGCTGGCAGATTACGGGCCTCCCATTGCTGCTGCCAGGCCTGTAAATTTCTGCCATGGGCCCCTGTACCCTGCCTCCTCATGCTGCTGCCAGGTCAGAGTGTGTCATGGGTCCCTGTACGGCCTCCCATTGCTGCTGTCTCCATCGCCACACTCTGCCATGTGCCACTTTCAGGTCTCCTCACACTGCTGGTGTGTTCCATTTTGTCATAGGGTGCTGGCAGATTACGGGCCTCCCATTGCTGCTGCCAGGCCTGTAATCTGCCATGGGCCCCTAGTACCGCCTCCTCATGCTGCTGCCAGGTCCAGAGTCTCTCATGGGTCCCTGTACGGCCTCCCATTGCTGCTGTCTCCATCGCCACACTCTGCCATGTGCCACTTTCAGGTCTCCTCACACTGCTGGTGTGTTCCATTTTGTCATAGGGTGCTGGCAGATTACGGGCCTCCCATTGCTGCTGCAGGCCTGTAATCTGCCATGGGCCCCCGTACCGCCTCATGCAAGCTGGGAGGTACCCGTCATCATGCTGCTGCCAGGTCCAGAGTCTCTCATGGGTCCCTGTACGGCCTCCCATTGCTGCTGTCTCCATCGCCACACTTCTGCCATGTGCCACTTTCAGGTCTCCTCACACTGCTGGTGTGTTCCATTTTTGTCATAGGGTGCTGGCAGATTACGGGCCTCCCATTGCTGCTGCCAGGCCTGTAATCTGCCATGGGCCCCTGTACCGCCTCCTCATGCTGCTGCCAGGTCCACAGTGTCTCATGGGTCCCTGTACGGCCTCCCATTGCTGCTGTCTCCATCGCCACACTCTGCCATGTGCCACTTTCAGGTCTCCTCACACTGCTGGTGTGTTCCATTTTGTCATAGGGTGCTGGCAGATTACGGGCCTCCCATTGCTGCTGCCAGGCCCGTAATCTGCCATGGGCCCCTGTACCGCCGCCTCCTCATGCTGCTGCCAGGTCCACAGTGTCTCATGGGTCCCTGTACGGCTCCCATTGCTGCTGTCTCCATCGCCACACTCTGCCATGTGCCACTTTCAGGTCTCCTCACACTGCTGGTGCTGTCCATTTTGTCATAGGGTGCTGGCAGATTACGGGCCTCCCATTGCTGCTGCCAGGCCTGTAATCTGCCATGGGCCCCTGTACGCCTCCTCATGCTGCTGCCAGTCCACAGTGTCTCATGGCTCCCTGTACGGCCTCCCATTGCTGCTGTCTCCATCGCCACACTCTGCCATGTGCCACTTTCAGGTCTCCTCACACTGCTGGTGTGTTCCATTTTGTCATAGGGTGCTGGCAGATTACGGGCCTCCCATTGCTGCTGCCAGGCCTGTAATCTGCCATGGGCCCCCCGTTACCGCCTCCTCATGCTGCTGCCAGGTCCAGAGTCTCTCATGGGTCCCTGTACGGCCTCCCATTGCTGCTGTCTCCATCGCCACACTCTGCCATGTGCCACTTTCAGGTCTCTTCACACTGCTGGTGTGTTCCATTTTGTCATAGGGTGCTGGCAGATTACGGGCCTCCCATTGCTGCTGCCAGGCCTGTAATCTGCCATGGGCCCCTGTACCGCCTCCTCATGCTGCTGCCAGGTCCAGAGTGTGTCATGGGTCCCTGTACGGCCTCCCATTGCTGCTGTCTCCATCGCCACACTCTGCCATGTGCCACTTTCAGGTCTCCTCACACTGCTGGTGGGTTCCATTTTTGTCATAGGGTGCTGGCAGATTACGGGCCTCCCATTGCTGCTGCCAGGCCCGTAATCTGCCATGGGCCCCCGTACCCGCCTCCTCATGCTGCTGCCAGGTCCACAGTGTCTCATGGGTCCCTGTACGGCCTCCCATTGCTGCTGTCTCCATCGCCACACTCTGCCATGTGCCACTTTCAGGTCTCCTCACACTGCTGGTGGGTTCCATTTTTGTCATAGGTGCTGTATGGCCTCCCATTGCTGCTGCCTCCACCGCCACACTGTGGCTCCACACTCTGGTTTTGGCCCCGTGACTGCCCAAATGAGTGAAGTGTGCGGTGATTCTAAGATCGACGGCACTCATCTGCATGTCATACTGAGTGACAGTATTATTTCTCTTCCCCACAGACTCCAAGGGCATTTAAATTAAAGGTACAGTGTTCTGCACTAATATAAAGGCTCTCTGAAGCCTAGAAACCCTTTTTATAAGTTAAATTTGCAGCGAATATATTCGCATCGAATCAAATTTATTCCTCGAATTCGCCGAATCAGCCGAATCGAATTTTTGAATACTTCGCTCATCTCTAGTCACATCACTAGGGGAGTTCACAGAAACAAAGACTTCTGCAATCCAGTGGAAGGAACTTTTTTCACCTCCAGCATCATGACATGATGTCTATACATCCACAATGTTATGTTGGCTGCATTGTATATCCTCATATACATCTCTCCTCCTTTTATATACATAAAATTCAGTCAACATGGTCATCATATTTTTAGAACAATTCTGCAGATTTGAGGCTGAAGTCACCAGTGACCTCCCTTAACTATTGGAATATTTGAATTCTATGTCCCTGAAGGCATATATGGGAGGTATCAGCTCCCTAAGAACCATAAGGAAGGTGGTAATAAGACCACTGCTAAGTGTTTTGCTTGGCACATGAATATCCATAGACTATGCACAATGTAAAAGTCTCCATCATTTCCCTTGCTAGTTGAATGTTCTTAGCCTATAGTGTTAGGCTATTTTCTCTATCGGTGCATGCTAATTCTGAAATGTTCCTATAGCTATTTTTATAAAATGTTAGGGACTGTTACATTTACTCTGTGAAAGGCAACAAGGAAACTATTACACATATTTTACAAACATTACGGGTATTATTCATTATGTTTGCACAAATATTGGGACATTCTCAAAGAATGAAATAATAAATAATTTAGAATTAAATAACAAAGAAATAAATGGTCCTCTAAATAGATGAGCAATACATTTTTGTTATGAATTATTAAAATGTTTCAAATGTTTGTTTACATTATACAATTGAGGTGATATTAGGTGCATATTGGATACAATTGGATACAATTATTATGTAAATAATAACAATGAGAAAAACTTTTAAAAACATACCCCAATGTGTATTTTTAATGTTACACTAAATTAGAACAATTTTTGCTGCTTCACAAAAAAAAGAGCAGTGTTCTTGCAAATATTTTCAACACAGATCAAAGACAAAAAGTTTTTTTGCAGTAATATTTTCAAACTTAATAAATGATTTTGAATGTCTTGTGTGGTCAATAGAAATTAAATGTTATTCATTACCTTGTGATACTGTAAAAGTACATTTTCTTACCATCAAGTAAAATCAAACCTAAGGAAACATGATGTGAAAATGAACCCAAGATTATATCCACAGTCAAAGCAATATATATAAATTGCTCTGCTTGAGTAAAACAAGCACTTTTATGCAGGAAGTTAAAGCAAAAACAAACAAAAATGATTTATGCAAAAATGTGCAGTCAGCTTTACAAAGGAGAAAATGTAATAGATTCTACTCCACTGTTGATAAAATAATTTATTGGTACATCACACATATTGTGTTTTCAATTTTATGAATATTTGAAAATGCAATGAAATGCAATATAGTGTTCTTTGCAGAAGAGTACATAGATGCGCTATTTAAAGTATTCTTAACATTACCAATATAGTACAGTTAACGTAGGCATATGTTTTCTACATGAATATCAAATTAAATAAAAATCATTTTTTTCCCCATGGGTTCTGCTGATTTTGTAATCATGGTTAAACGAATATGTCGGAGATCCTTCAAAATACACTCAACAGGGATCCTGGTGATGTGAGACTATTGTATCTGGAGGCGACAAAAACACTTTTTATATTCATTTTCATTGTGTTTTCCAGAGATACAAAAGCATATATAAATAACACTTGTTAGTTATCAAAACAAGTCTACAACATCAAAGGAAAGGAAAGCAAAGATATCGAAGAGAAATGAATCATCAAAATTGACATCAACTGAGATAAAAATAATTTATATTACTACGTTTCCCCTAAAAGCTAATTTCCAAGTAAAAAATCTTTGATGTTACTGGAAAATAGAAAAGGGCATTGAAATAAACCTGGTAAACCCCAATATCTTTTGGTAAACTCTCAAGATTACTGTCATTTAGAGTACCTTTAACCTAAACACAAGTAACCTAAAAACAAATAAAAAAAGAACAAAATGTGATGAAATGGTAAAAGAAAGAAAAAAATGGAATAAAGACAGTTCCTTGAAAGGTGTTGAACCCCATTTAGCAGTGTTTAATTACTGCATATATTTATATTGTTTATCTAGGTTTTTAATATTCATTTAAATCTTGACAAACCCTTTAAAAAATGGCTCCATTTTATGTGCTATTTGTTTACAATCCTTTTAAGCTCAATGCCATTCATTAACAGTTATTTTATAAATGGCTTAATATGATCTCTATGGATGTGAAATTATACCCTTTGCAAAATTCAGAGGAAGAGATCTTTTGATCTTTTACAGCTGCCTCCTGGGAATGGTATATTTTGAAAGAAGACTAATTAAATATCTAAGCAAATAGAAAGCCTAAGTAAACAAAACAATGTAATGCATGATTCCAGAATCCAACGATATGTCCACATATGGTGCTGGAATTGTAATAATAATCCAGATAATACCAGCTCAGTGACAAGTGTGAATGTGGGTTGGCGCTTGTGCAATCTTCCTCTTCATCAGAAAGCTATCAGTTGAATTCCATGTAAGGATAACATAGCAGGTATAGTAGTTCATTATCAACAGTGTACAACTAATTGTGGCTAATTGGTCTTGAGCTGGGCTAGTGAAACTGTAGTTAGATCAATTAGGCAAAACTAAAGTCTGGGCAGTTTGGACAACAAGGTATATCAGAGAGTGCTTAGGGTCTGCATGATGACCTTTCAAGTGCCTGTTCTTCACTAAGGATGAATGAACCAGGGAAAGTTCAGTTTGCTAAAAACAGCAGGAAATCCGTGATCACTGAATGTCACTGAATGTGATCACTGAATAGAAATCTATGGGAGCCAAATCTTGTCATTCTTGTCAGTTTTTTCTGGTATTTTCCAAACAAATATTTAAAAAAAATGAAGTGGTGCACCTGTAGAATGTACTGTACAGCCACCAAAGTGACATTAAAAAAACACCATCACAGTTTACATTCCTCACCTGCTTTGGGGGATCCCGAGTGATGCCATTGACCACATATGCTCATGACCATATTAGGTCAATGACATCAGTCATCATCCCTAGACAGTTTGTTGATTTTTTAGAAACCAGATGTGGAACTGTCATTTGTGACAGAAGTATCACCGGAAAAGTGTCATGGGATAGATGGGATCAATCACCGCATCCACAGGTTTTTTAGGGCATTGCTTATCATGATTGATGATGATGTAATTGAAAATCCTGCGCAGCGGACAGAGGAATAAAAACCTGTGGGCTGCTGCTAGCAATTAACACAAATATGTGTGTGGTAATAGGACAATTGGAATGCTGCACTACCACTCCTATAACTGTGAGACACTAGTTAAGGGGATATTAATGTGTGTGATTAAATAAACAAGTAGTGATGCTACAATGCACCTCCCTTTTCAGTGTGTAATTGTGTGATCTCAACTCTAGAGATATAGAAATAATGATAATAATAATAGAATAGAAAAAATTCCAGTTGTGTATTTCATGTTGCAATGCACCTATCTCTTAACTAAATGTGTTACTACAAACCACCATATTGCATGGTGCTACAATAATACACCTCCCTCTCAAATGTAAACTTCTGCAACACTTTAAAAATAACACATGAAATATTTGTGATATAAATCATAGGTGAAACCCCTATATACCAATCAATAAATGTACTGGGGGACTACTGCACACCTGCCCCTGAAAATGACAAAATAAGTTGATAGTGCAAGGAAATTGCCCTAAAGCATAAAGTGTTCTTGGAAAAGGAATCATAATTATAATATGAGCAAATCATATACCATAAGTTGAAAACATCCATATATCAAACTTTAAATATTGTGATAACTATAAAACACCTCCCTCAAAAATAGCAAACTATGTAGATTGTGCTAGAAATGATCCTCTGAAAAGAAAGTGTCCTTGAAAAAAAAGGTCAATATATAAGTAAATAAATATGCCAGTTCATATTATAAAGTCCTGGTGCTACAAAACACCTTCCACAACGGAAATGCCATAGTGACTTAGTGATATACTGGTGACCTTGACAACAATTAATGATGCGTGCTTCACTGGAGCTCCCCCTCCAGAGCCTCACTCACAGCAAGATATTGACCACCTAAATTAGGTAGGTCAAACAGCACTTTTGGGTGCTTCAAGCCCCTGTATTGGACCAGCCTCCTGTGAACTTCCAAGACCGTTGTCCCCTGAGCCAGGATCCTCCTGGTAAGAAGAAAACACTCCAACACTCCAAATGACCACCAATTCTTCTCCACCACAGTAGGAATAATCAAAGGGAAACTTCCATAGTGTTATACTGTTTTTATTTGAGTAAAATCACCTAAAATTGCACTTACATCATATCCATGTATGTAGCACTTTAAAAACAATATGTCCTAGGACACTGTTACACTTTGCATACACCCTTGTGTAGACCGGAAGTGGTCACTTTCAGTCTACACAAGGGTGTATGCAGAGTGTAACAGCGTTTCCCTTTGATATTCCTACTGTGGTGGAGGAGAATTGGTGAAGGAGAATTGGTGTACTGACAAATAGGGATTAATGTTGAGGTGGGAGAAAATTTGGGTTCTAGTGATCACCAAAGTCTTTGGTTTGATATTAAAATGAGAACTGAAAAATCATAGACAAAAACAAACGTTTTAGATTTCATAAAAATGGATTTCGCTGAAATGGGTGAATTTCTAAAAAATGAATAGAAAGGTTGGAGTAAAAACAGCAGGAATAAGTAATCAGTGGGTACTGTTAAAGTCTATCAACCTGGAGGCAACTAGATTATATGTCAGGCAAGTTAGTAAGAATAAACAGAAGAAAAAAATAATATGGTTCACTAAAGAGATAATTAGGATAGTAAAAGAAAAAAATCAGCATATAGAAGATTCAAGGAAAATAGGAGGTGTAACTGAGAAGAGT